CAAACCCCCCGCCGTTCTCACCGCACGCCGCCGGAGCCGCGCTCGCGGTCGGCGCCGCTCCCGCCGTCCATCTGCAGGCAGCAGCCCCTCTCCCCGCCCCCCGCCCCGTTGAGGGGCGCTTTTTCCACGCCCCCCGCAGCCGCCGCGCAGCCCCGCACTTTGCTGCGCGCCCTGTAAGCCACCAGAGCCGAGGCGGCGGCGGCCGGCAGCGTCAAGGCGAGCAGCGCGGCCACGGCCACCAGCTGCGGCCAGTAGGAGCCGCCCGGGGGGGGGGTCGCCGCCCCCTCCTCGCGCCCCCAGCCGCCGCCTTCGGGCTCCCGCAGGCGGTACCGCACGGCGGCCCAGCGGAAGCCGTTCTCGGTGGCCCAGCACGTGTAGGCGCCCAGGGCGCCGCGCCGCGCGACCACCAGCAGCGTCAGGTCCGGCAGCTGCTCCGCGCCCCCCGCCGCCGCCCCGCCGCCCCCCGGCCGCTCCCAGCTGTACGCCGCCCAGGCGGAGCGGCGCGGGCACGGCAGGCGCACGACGCTGTGCAGCGCCGGGCTGAGAGCTGCGGGGGGGGGGGGGGGGGGGGCGGGGAGTGAGGGCCTGCGGGGAACCGCGACCCCGCAGCCCCACGGCACGAACACCAGCCTGCATCCCGCATCCCATATCCCATATCCCATATCCACATCCCATACCAACATCCCACATCCCATATCCACATCCTATTCCCACATCCCATATACACATCCCATACCCCGCATCCCATATCCCATATCCCATATACACATCCTATACCCACATCCCACATCCCATATACACATCCTATACCCACATCCCATATACACATCCTATTCCCACATCCCACATCCCACATCCTATACCCACATCCCATACCAACATCCCGCATCCCATATACACATCCTATACCCACATCCCATACCCCACATCCCATATCCCACATCCCATATACACATCCTATACCCACATCCCACATCCCATATCCCATATACACATCCTATACCCGCATCCCATATCCCATATCCCATATACACATCCTATACCCCCCATCCCACATCCCATATACACATCCTATACCCCACATCCCACATCCCATATACACATCCTATTCCCACATCCCATATACACATCCCATACCCCGCATCCCATATCCCACATCCCATATACACATCCTATACCCACATCCCACTTCCCATATACACATCCTATACCCCACATCCCACATCCCATATACACATCCTATACCCACATCCCATATACACATCCCATACCCCGCATCCCATATCCCACATCCCATATACACATCCTATACCCCACATCCCACATCCCGTATCCCATATACACACCCCACATCCCATATCCCACACCACATATCCCATATCCCACAGCCCCTATAACCCCAGCTCTGACCCCATACCCCAGCCCTGCCCCTATAACCCCAGCTCTGACCCATACCCCCAGCCCTGCCCCTATAACCCCACCCTGACCCCATACCCCACCCTGACCCCATACCCCACCCTGCCCCTATAACCCCAGCCCTGACCCCATACCCCAGCCCCGCCCCCCCACTCACTCAGCTCAGCCACTTCCGTTTCCGCCCCCCCGCTCCTCGCGCGCTGGCAGCGGCTCCTGGCGTCGCCTCCCTCCACGTCCTGCAGCCACGTGCTGTGGGGTCAGAGGTCAGGGGTCAGGGGTCGGAGCCATGGGGTCAGGGTCAGGTCATAGGGTCAGGGTCAGAGGTCATGGGATCATAGATGATGTGGACAGGGTCAGAGGTCATGGGGTCATGGTCAGAGGTCATGAGTTCACAGGGTCGGGGTCATGGGGCAGGTAACAGAGTTAGGGTCAGAGGTCATGGGGTCGGGGTCAGAGGTCACGGGGTCGGGGTCACGTCATAGGGTCAGATCCTGGGGTCAGGAGTCAGATCACAGCATCAGGGTCAGAGGTCAGGGGGTCGGGGTCATGGGTCAGGTCATAGGGTTAGGGTCAGAGGTCACAGGGTCGGGGTCAGATGTCATGGGGCCATGGGTCGGGTTATAGGGTCAGGGTCGTGGCCTGGGTTAGGGCTCTAGTGTAAGGGCTCAGGTTATGGGGCCATGAGTAGGGTTAGGGGGTGGGGGCAGAGTTATAGGGTCAGGGTTACGGGATAAGTTTTATAGGGTCAGGTTTATAGGGTCAGGGCTGTAGGGTCAGGGTTACAGGGTCAGGATTATAGGGCTCATAGGGTCAGAGCTGTAGGATCAGGGCAATGCGGTCACGTTTATAGGGTCGGGGCTGTAGGGTCAGGGTTACAGGGTCAGGATTATAGGGCTCATAGGGTCAGAGCTGTAGGGTCAGGGCAATGCGGTCACGTTTATAGGGTCAGGGCTGTAGGGTCGGGTTTATGGGATCAGAGTTATAGGGTCAGGTTAGTAGGGTCAGAGCTGTAGGATTAGGTTTATAGGATCAGGGCTCTAGGGTCAGGGCTCTACGGTCAGGATTACAGGGTCAGGGCTGTAGGGTCAGGGCTATAGGGTCAGGGTTACAGGGCCATGTTTATAGGAACAGGGCTATAGAATGAGAGTTATAGGGTGAGGGCCTTAGAGTCAGGTTTATAGGACCAGAGTTATAGGGTCAGATTTATAATGTCAGGATTACATGGTCATGTTTATAGGATCAGGCTACAGGGTCACGTTTATAGGGTCAGGGTTGTAGGCTCAGGTTATAGGACCATGTTTATAGGGTCCGGTTATAAAATCAGGTTACAGGGTCAAGCTATAGGGTCAGGTTACAGGATCAGGTTATAGGGTCAAGCTATACGGTGAAGCTACAGGGTCTGGATATAGGGTCAGGCTATAGGGTCACGTTACAGGGTCAAGTTATAGGGTCAGGTTACAGGCTCAGGCTGTGGGGTCAGGTTATAGAGTCAGGTTATAGCATCAGGTTACAGGGTCAAGCTAAGGATCAGTCTACAGGGTCAGGCTATAGGGTCAGGTTTATAGGGTCAGCTACAGGGCCAGGTTATAGGGTCAGGTTACCGGGTCAAGCTATAAAGTCAGGCCACAGGATCAGGTTACAGGGTCAGGTTACAGCTCTGGCTGTAGGGTCAGGCTTTTGGGTCAGACTGTAGGGTCAGGCTGTAGGGTCAGGCTTTAGGGTGAGGTTACAGCCCTGGCTATAGGGTCAGGCTGTAGGGTCAGGCTGTAGGGTGCGGTTACAGCTCTGGCTCTTGAGCTGTCTGTAGGATGGGAGCCATAGGGTGGGAGCCATAGGGCCGTTTGTAGGGTGGGAGCCGTAGGGCTGTTTGCGGGGTGGGAGCCGCGGTGCCTTTTGTGGGGTGCGAGCTGCGGTGCTGTTTGTGGGGTGGGAGCTGTAGGGTGGGAGCTGTAGGGCCGTTTGTGGGGTGGGAGCCGCGGTGCCATTTGCGGGGTGGGAGCCGTAGGG